GAAATGGGGGCTTAAGACCTTGGAGTGTGGAAAACTCGGGGAGTATGTGAAAGCCAGTTCGCATGCACAGAATTACCAGACTAATGCACGAAGCGCAGAAACCAAGATAAGCAAGCTTTGGTAACAACAATCTCATACTACTGGAACCTACATGGAAATCGACTACGAACAACAAGACGAGAACCTTTGAGGCTTGGCGGAAAGGGTTCAGGGGGCCTTATGCAAATCCAGCACTGCAGGTGACGAGCGGATGTTGAAAGCTTTAAATGCGTGACGACTGCAGGGTGAGATTTTGCAAGGTTGGGGTTATGGGCTAGAAGGCCTTAGTATTTAGAATGTGGCTTCGCCCTGGGCCACACATCATCCACAGCTTGTTCTGGTATCGATTCTTTCCTGGCGATGCGGGAAGTGGGGTGTTACGGGAAAAGGGCCTAATTCTGGAAATGCCTTGTCGGGGTCTTTGGACGAGACACAAGCACCAGAAAGCTACTTGGGTGGGAGTTTAAGCGGTATCCTATTTCCCCCTTATGGCCCCGCAAGACTCGGAATGATCGAATTGTCTTTTGGATTGTGCTACGCGGGCTCCCCGAGTTCTAGGTCAGCAAATTTGAATGGACACACAGCTTCAGGAACAGCTTGCTGGTGAGCATGCCAAAGCCAAAGCATGCAGCTTCTAGCCGCTTGCTCCGACGTGATGCCTGACTTTCCGCCGTATGCGATTGTGCGAGAAGCATATGGTTTGGCTCCTCTGTACTTGGCAACCCAGCTGGTGGTGTGCTGGTTCGTAATCTGGTGTATGGTGGCGCCTTTGACCTGCGGAGTGCAAGTCTTCAGATGCGTCTCGGTCCAGCTCCAGACTTCCTTGGTGGGTGCAGCATGCTGCACAACTTGCCTTGGTTGTACGGCTCCGGCAGTTTTCATGCAAAGAGCGGCCTCATCCTTGGTGATGTAGCCACGCTGCTGCAAGAATTGGATGTCGGTGCACTGAGTGGTTGTGAGCGTTTTCTGCCTCTCGCGACACTGCCTCGCTGCTGCATGGTCAGCTGGTTCCAACACACCTTCGCTTAGGGCAAGGTTCTCACCAGTAAGAAGCAAAGAGACTGGACAAGGCCTGCTCAAACCACTGCGGTGCTTCAGGTAGTTCGCCACGTCTGCGGCTGCAACTTCGGGGATCGCATGTTTGATCAGTGCCTCGGCTTTGGCCAAAACTCCTCTGAGAGCAGTTGGCCCTTTGAGCATCGTGCCAAGACCGAAATGCCTTAAGAGCTTTTCCAGAACGTTGTCAGGGCAACCTTTGAAGCCACGCTTGGCTGCAGCCACGTGAAGGGGTTCTGCAGGACCTGCTTGTATGCACCAAATGCCCATGCATGTCTCGGACGCATCCGCGAAGGAGGCGACACAGGCTGGCGGCAACGACCGAGTTGGCAAGCTTTCCCAAGAGCTCATGTCCAGGATGGACTTCCATGTGCAGACAGTGCCCTTTGCAAGCGACGGGAAAAACAGACTCAGTTGGTGCCTCTGGACGCGCTCAGCTGGCCACAGCAAACATCCATAGATGCTGTGCTTCAGAACCACAAAGCAGAGATCGCTACACTTCTGACGAATGTAAGTCCCCTCCTGAGCCAACAGACTCATGTAGCTGTTGGAAACTTCCGTCCAAGAGTTGTCTGTCCAGGCTTGCACTAGAAGCTGCCAAGCACCAGGCTGGATCTGGAGACCCTGCGCAGAGCAATGTGCCCAATCGCACTTGCCGCGTTTGGTAATGGCTTTGAGGACACCGTCATCGATGGAGGGCTTCTGACCCAATGCATGGAACAAGTCTTTTGACAGATGCCGCGGTATCCCAGGCGGCACCTCTGCGTAGTTGGACTGCAATTCTGGCCGCCCGAACTCTTGCAAGACTTTGCTTTCATGGAGCCAGTACCATCGCCGTAGTCGGGACATCTCCTTGTTCTTCTGCTCCCGGCAGATGTCCTCCAGCTTCTGGAAGCCCCTTTCCACTACAACTGTGTGTGCGTAGCCTTTGTAAACGGTTTCAAGGGTTTGTTTGACGTAGGGACTAACAAACTGAAAATCATGCTCGGCCAATCGCACCAAGATCTCCCGAACTACTATGTCTTCAACAAAGCAAACGGCATCCAAGATCTTGGATACACCACCAACGCCGAACTGCCTCTCCTCAGCCGCACACAGCACCTGCCAGTTCTGCTTCTGCTTCGCAAGGCCCTGAGCGACTTTCGACTCTTCACGTGAGAGAAGCAACACCATCTGCCCCAGAGGCAAGTCCAGGAATTGGCTCATGGTGAGGCCACGATGTTTCACTGTTGCTGCGATCAGCAGCCACAGCTGGTCGGCCCAAGCTTCATCGTCCAAGTGCTTCTCGTGCAACTGAAGACCTTCCAGCCGCACAGGTGGTGCAGCTGCAGATGATGACGCTGGTAGCTGCAGCTGCTGCCGGTAGAATGCTTTCTCTGTGTCGGCTACATCGAAAAGCATGTGCTCAAGCATGGGCAGGGAAAACATGATCGACCAAAGCTTCTTGAAGACAATGTGGTGTCCTTGGGACGCATGATTCAACAGGTAGTCAAATGTCCGATCCAGCGTGTACGCGCCGGCCAGCTCCTTCTGAAAAGACTTGTGAACCACCTGCCCGACGCTGAGCAACAGTCTTCCTCTTCGAAACTGCCCTCCCTGACCTAAGATCATGGCCGCCATGTGCAAGGAATTCACAGCATCAGTCTTGCGCTCTGTTGCCTTCGTCTCGCTTGATGTCTGCTGCATGCTCTGCTTTTGCGCTCCGCTGGTCTTGCCTTTCAGCAGGCTCTTCCACTCCACAGGAACTTGGTGCGCATCCCATATCGGGAAATCGGCTAAAGACTTCAGCTTCCCGGAGTGATACAGGACCAAACAGTACTCGTAGAGGTGGATGTGGTATTCCTTCTGGAACTCTTCATAAGCACTGATGAACTCAAACCACCTCGTCAGATTGACCCTGCTGCCCTTGACACCAGCACCCACTGTTTCCGCAACTTTGTGAAAAACAAGCTCCTGCTCTTCAAGGCTGCCCGGTTCGCAAGACGTCGCCAAATCCATGTCAGAAACTAGCTTGTCTTTCAATGCTTGGAAAATTGGGCATCCGGGACCGAATTTCTTGGTGTGTAAGCCCAAAGCTTCTTTTGTTTGGCGAAACCAAGCCTGGCTAGTCCAAGGGCCGTGTCTGCAGTTCATGCAATGTATGAGCTCATTCACGCAAGGCCACAGATTGCAGTCCTGCACTGCGCCTCTGAAATCATTCCAGCATCGATGCGCTTGGTCGCGCAACGTCACCACTCTGCAGTTCAGCTTGTGGGCCAAAAACTGCAGTGCTGACAAGTTCACGCTGTGCTCGTCGCAGGTGATGGCCAACACGGGAGACGGAGTCTGCGCTAACTCAAAACGCTGGGTGTTGGTCTGGGAGTCGTAGACGCAGACCCGTTTGGATGGAATGCTTTCTGGCAAGCTGTAACCATCCGGCGGCTGCCCATCTGCCAGCCATCGGGCCTCACCAGCTCGTAGCCTGCGAGGAAACTCACCAGAGGCCACGAAAACTTGCAATCCTAAACCACAGCTTGCCAACAATGAGTGGTCCAGTGCTCGCAATAACTGGTAGCTTGCTTCACGTGTCATCTTGGCTTCCTTTTGGAAGAAGGCTTCACTGCTCGCGTCATGGGCCTTCGCGATGCTCGCCAGTTCCAGGCTGGCACTGACCCCTGCAAGCAAGTCCCGCCCAGCTTCTGTTTGCTCCGCGGGCAGCTGAGGCAACTCCTCCAATTGCTTCAATGCAGGGAGCACCTGCAGCAAACTGTCTTGCGGGAACACCTGCTCTACTGTACTGACAAGGACGCGGGGAGCTAAAACCAAGAAAGCACGGTCCCTAGCTGCTCTAAACACCGACCAGCAGCCTTTACGGAAACGAGTGCCTGTCAAAAGCAAACTCGATACAAAAAAACTTTCGGAATAGGGAGCTTGGGGCTCTCGGGACTAGAGCTTGAGTCGCCGGATTTGCGCTCTGAGGCTTCACCGGGACCGATGAAAGATTGGGGTCTTGCAGTTCCGGGCGGGTGCCAAGAACAAGCGTGACAAATGCCAAAAATGCCGAATTGGGCAGTTTTGGCCTAGTTTGGCAGCTTTTGGCGCATTTTGGCATTTGTCCGCATCATCAACCTGATGGCATGGACGTTATCCACTTTGAAGCCGAGGAGCCTGAGGCAAAAACCACGCTGCAGTCTGCTGCGCGTGACTCCATGCAGAGACGATCAGAGTCGATTCGCCTCCAACCGTCGATTCGTCCATGGAGACATGCAGATGCCTCTCGCCCTTGAACTTGTCGAAAACAGCAGCCCAGTACTTTCGCATGCGCTCCTGCTCCACAGAACATCCAGAATTGCTTGCCAAGTCGACTGAGCCAGCACGAATCATCTGCTCAGCCGTCCTGTGTTTTTTCGCTTCCAATGCTTCGTGGATGGTCAAATCTTTGACGTCAGGATCCACTCTGAGCCTTCGCTTCGTGCCTCTGGGAGCTGCAAGATCTTTGGCATTCGTCTGCCACCCCACCGCGGGGACTAGGCAGTCCTCGAGGAGACTGGCTGTGCCTTGTATCAAAAATCCGCACCATTGTTTCATTAATGGACAGGAATCCTTCTTGGCCCAAACTGTGTGCAGCAAGCCTAGCAGCTCTGAGCAGCCCAACTGTCGTGGCAAACTCTCATAAATGCTCGTGCAATGCCGGCATGCTCCGAGACCTGCTGGTCCCCTTAATGAGCACGCGGTTGCGTCTGCATCTGGCAGAGCGTAAACTTCTGCAGGGATGACTTGGAAGAGCCGAGGAAGCGTTTTTTGCAAGAAGTCCGCCAGGACGAGCTGTGCCTGCTTCTGATGCCCTCGACGCAGCCGAGACGACCAATCTAGTAGGAGCATGATGATGATGGCTGCGGACGTCGTCACTTCAGTCCCGCACCATCGCTTCAGCTCTGCCGGAAGCTCGTGGAAGCTTGCTTGCCTCTGCGATGGACGCCAATCCGAGTCATGGGCATCGATCATTTTCAGCAAAGCTTCCCAGGCGTCTGTCTGGCCATGCGTTTTGAACCAGTGAAACCAATCCGTGCCTTTGACGCTAAAGCCCAATGCCATGCAAAACTCACGCAGCTGCAGCATCAAGCGCGGGCCCATGTCGTAGGCGCTCTTTTCAAAGACAAAAAACTTTACATGGTCTATCTTGGACGTTGCATCCCCTGGCAGCCACCGTACCCACAGCGGTTGCCTTGGCTCAGCAGCCATGGCGGCCTGAGACGCATCCCCTACGCAACGTCGTTTCCTGTCACAATGTTTTTACATGCTCAAAACACATTTGCCAAGGCTGCATAGCCACCGGTGACCCTGTAGGAACAAATGTGGATGTGTGTCAAAACTATGCCTTGTCATCTCAAACCTACTAAAGACATGTACGACAAAATGTGCTGACATGCCTACTGCATCTTCAGCGCTTGTGCCCTGTCAAGCACTCGGAACGGCCAGCATGACCAGAAAACCCATGCTGACGTCAGCAGTGCCGCTGTGTGCTGCACTACAACACCGTGACTCACGCACAGTAGCTGTCTTCTCTTCACTATTCCTACGAATTCACTGTTTAGAAGTTCCGTCGGCAACATGTGTCTAAACCCAGATCTGAAGCAGCAACAGGATTCAACACTATTGCAGTGGGCCCCCAAAACTTCCATGACCAGTGACACCCCGCAACAAACAAACGAAGTGTAACGAACAAAACAAATAACCTTGCACCATCACAATCGCCATCAGGTTTGAGCATTTATGGTCGAGAGATTGGGTGTCTTAAGTTTAACAAGGATTATGTGGATAAGCTTCGGGACTGTACTTTTTATCTTTAAAACAGCCTAGCAGTATGTATATCTGCAACTCACAAACCCTATATGGACCCTCAATCTACGTCTAACTGATCAGGATGGCGGACTTGCAGGCACAGTTTCGCAGACACTGCGGGGCTCCCCTTACTTATTCGCTTAGAACATAGCAACGCTGCCAACAGCAACAAACTTTCACCTGGCGGACCTAACACCGGAGGCAACAAACACTCAGGAAATTCAGGCTTTGGGACTTCTGTTTCAGGCTGCTGCTGTGCACCACTACTTTGTTGACGAACGCGGCCAAGTCCAAGCAGACGTTAGGCAGCGACTGAAGCAGCCGAAGGTTGTACAACTAGCGTGACGCCAAAGCACGTCCTACCCCCGCACACGCGCGGTGTGCTACAGTGCTTGCAGCGCTTCTAGCAAGCAAGCTCTGTCCTCGCCCACAGACGTGCTACTGACCTGACCTGCCGACGACCTTAACATAAATCCAACCAAAAACCTATTGAAAACCGCATGTGGTAAGGAGACATCAATACAACACTTCCCAAGGGCGACAAGTCGTCAAAACCCCTCCAAAACCCTTCGGGCAGAAGCTGTTAAAAGCAGCTACGATCCTACACATTCGGATGACAACATGTCTGCAAAATGCAGCATTCAGGGCTCGACCTCGGTCTCAGAACCATCGGCATCACTCTCGTCCACCTTTACGAGGCCATCACGGCGCTTCGAACCAAGAAGAGCGGCAGTAGCTGCAGCACTGGCCTTCAGGCTTGCGGGTGGCTCTGGGACGGAAAACGAGAGTGTGGTCTGCGAAGGGCTTCCGGGACGCGGCAAGGTAGGCGAGGGCGTGGCAAGCATCTCCGGGTCACGAGGCTTCTCAGGCACCTGCCGGGAGGCAGAGAGGCGAGGAGCTTTCTTGGCGGGCTGTGCATCACCAACTCCGCCGTCACCTAGCGGAGTAGTTGTAGAACGAGGCTCAGCCACTCTGTGTTCCTGACTGAGTTGCTTCGTCAAGGTCCTCTTCAACTTCGGGAAAAGGCTGTGGCACTCCAACGTCTCGCCATTGGGAAACACGAGGACGGCCGCAAGCTGAGACCAATTGCAATTGATCTTGTCATTGGTGAAATAGTCCAGCTTGATGCCCTCCACAAGCTCGTTCGGCAAGACCACTTTCTTGGCCGCAAACTTGTCCGTAAGCTGCACGTACTCGACGTCGTTCTCCTTCTGGTACTCCACGTTGTAGATGCCGTGCTTGCTCCAATCCACGGAGAAGCCCTTCTCGGAAGCGAGCTCAAGGTTGCGGAAGCGCTTGCCGAGCGAGACGTACACGGCTCGTAGCCGCTCGAAAGCCTCTTTCTTCACTTTCGTCATGGGCTTGTCCGATGTTTTGTCGTCCAAGACCACGAGCCCGAAGCCAAACTCCATCAATTGCTTTGCAAGAGTAGCAGAATCCAGCTTTGTCTTCTTCGCGGGAGGGAACCTGCTGGGCTCGACATAGGAGAGGAGCTCGAGGCACAAACTCTTGCGCCAACCTGAATACTTCATGGCGTGTCGATTAAGCTCTGCTTTCTCGTCGATCTCAAAGCCGGGCTCGTCGGAAGCGTACTCCGGCTCGCTGTCGCAAGCCTCTTTGCTGCGACTCTTCGTCTGCTTCGCAGGCGTCTTGCCCTCGAGGTTGTCCAAGAAGTCCAACACTAGGAGTTGCTTCTCGACGGAGTCTTTCACGCGCTCAACTATTGTGCGCACTTGACGATCCGAGATCTTGTTGATGTTCTTCGCCGGCGTCTGCATCATGCGGTGCTCTATGTTGCTACGGCAGCAAGAACACAGTGGATTATACAACCTGCTGGATTGTAGCTGCGCTCGTGCGTCGTGCGAAACTGCTGCTTGCTTCACCCTTCGGAAGTATTCGAGGTTCGAGCTCTCAGACGGCTCAAAGATCCAACATCAGACACTAGACGCCTCCGGTAGACGGCTGAAATTATTCTGCAACACAGGCCTACCCGGATCTGCAAATAGGCACAGGCCTGTACTGACCTCTCCCGAGAATGTCTGGGCGTAGAACCCCGACCGCACTGCATGTCTGTCACCAACAAGGCTCTGGACAGACTGATTGCAACCGTCCGTCGAAAAGCACCCTAGCAAGCGACTCAAACTCGACTGTTCGACATATGCTACTGGAACCTGTCCTGCCTGCCCATGCATTAGCTAGCGTTACTTGCGGCCTCTCACACGATACTTGCAGCTTAGCAACTCCGACACACTGCAAACAACTCTCTAGTCTGACATCTCAGCTGTTACACACAAAGTTGAACGAAGGGAACAACTCTTGATGTTGATGATGCCGCCACTCGTTTGCAACTAGGAAAAAAGGTGCGCTCTTCAGAAAAGGCCCCAATGGGCCCCATTAGGCCCGAATGGGCCGCAGAGCTTACGCCCCTATTTACTACGCAACCATTGGCAAAGCTTTGA